CCTTTGCAGGAGTGTCAGTTTGTACAGAATACTAAAACACCACATAGCATTAAAAGAACAGGGCTAGCCTTTTCCCAGGGCTGCATGTTCACCTCTGGTTCAAACTGTGGTTAATAGAAACAACCCAAATTAAACCATAGTTATGAAGCTGGCTTGTTTTTCCTAAGCATAGCTAGGATCAGCCACAGTTTAGCATTTGAACCAGCTGCTAGACACTGGGGATTGTGAAATGGAAGCAGAAGTTTCCAGATTTTCTATGGCTGTGGTGAAGAGGAGAAAGAGCGGAGAGGAGCATGCAAGCCCTCGGGGCGGAACAGCTTTAGTGTTACAGCTGAATTCAGCAGGGGAACAAACATGTTCATTAACCATTGCAGAAACCACATGAGAACTGTCAAAGACAAATAGCCTTGGTGTGAGGTTGAAGCCTAGCATAGTCCTCCCTTCAAAATGTCTCACTGCCACATTGTTAAAGTAAAATATAGCAAGGTGAAAAACACGAAATGTCAGAGAAGGGTAGAATGCAGCTTATTACCAATTTAAATAAAGGGAGCCTTTCTCATCAAATAGGCTCTCAAATATCCAACAAGACGCACCACACATTTTTCAAATGATCTCCAGCCATATTTGTTGCCTCTTAAAATTTTAAATAATTTTAAATAAATACTATTTCTCCATATTCAGAAGTACTAAAAAAGCTAGCTGCAAAAATATACTCAAATATTTTATTCTTTGCTTTTGGGACCATATAGTCCTAAGTACATGGGAAATAATATACATCCCTGGAGGGCACAAGCTTCCTACCTGTTACAGATTTATGCACATGATTTCATAAGAGTTATTGAAGCTGGGCCAAAAAAGCCCCTGGTTCAGGCCTCATCTGTGCTGTGAATTCAACAGTTTTAAAAAGAGGAAGTGTCAAATACTCTACTAATTTATTGTTGCATCATGTTGCACAACGTGTTTCAACAACCATCTTCCTCATGCATACCTGGGAGTAAGCTTTGCTGAATTCAATGTAGCCTACTTGTGAGTCAATATCCTGATGATTCCCTGTGACTTGCTACAAGTCTTTCATTAGCCTCTGAATAATTTTAGCTGCAGTGCTAAGCATGTTTATTAGAGAACAAACATAGAAACAGAGCGAGTCAGAAGGGGCCTCCCGGGCCTTCTAGTCTGACCTCCAGCACCAGCCGGCTCTGCTCACGACATGCCCACCATGTGCATGTCCAGCCTATCTTTGAACACCCTCACCGATGGGGCCTCAACGACCTCTCGTGGAAGCCCATTCCAACCCCCTTCAACACAGTAAAAGGGCACATGATTGTTCTGTATGATATTAAAGGATCCCTTAGGATTAAGGGATCTTTTAGCGACTTCTAGGTATGTAAAGGGATGTCATGTGGAGGAGGGTCGTGACCTGTTCTTCCCTGCAGTGGAGGGCAGGATGAGTTCCAATGGGGCAAAGCTCAAGGAATCAGGCTTCAGGTTGGATGTCAGGAAGTACTTCTTGACAGGACCCCTAGGATATGGAATGGGCTTCCAAGAGAGGTGGTTGAAGTCCCATCAGTGAGGGTGTTCAAGGAAAGATTGAACAGCCACATGTTGGAGATTACATGAGCAGAGCCAGGTGGAGCTGGAGGTCAGACTAGATGGCTCAGGAGGATCCTTCTGACTTGCTTTGTTCCTATGTTTCTATGTTTAAGGTGGGTTTTTACTGAAATCTATTGATCAATTTACATCTAGTATATTAGTAAAATGTTGGAGTTCCAGGATGAGATTTCCTCTCCTTTTTTTTTTTGGTATTGCCTCGTTGTTAGTTGCAAAGTTGCGCCCGACCCATCATGACCCCATGGACAACATTCCTCCAGGCTCTGCTGTCCTCCACCATCCCTCAGAGTCCACCCAAGCCCACACCCACCGCCCCGTGACTCCATCTAGCCACCCCATCCTCTGCTGTCCCCTTCTTCTTTTGCAGTCAGTTGTTCCCAGCATCAGGCTCTTCCCCAGTGTGTTGTTCCTTCTCATTAGGTGGCCAAAGTATCTGCGTTTCCTCTGCACTGGTACTGCCTAGGGTGACCAAATGCAGAACTGGACAGGACTCCTGATCCTTTCCTAGGTCCACTGAAGAGAGGATTTCAGCAGGTGCTGCATGCTGGGGGCACCTCTCCTGGACAACTCTCTCCTGTTACAGGGGGCCTGTCCTCTTTCATATTTGGCCACCCTAGTATTGCCTCTTGTTTTCTCTAGTTTAGAATTAGGGAGCCTGCTATCTATTCCTCAGCCTCAGTTCCCCTCCCCACAACAGTACTAGGAAGAGAGTAATACTGATCTAGTGGGATTGTGGGAGCTGGTGTTTCCAGTGTCCATGCATCTACTCTGGGGGTTGATCTGAATTTTGAGGGACCCTCCAGAGTGCTGAACTGCGCAAACAGACTCAATATCATGGATAGCTTCACCCTGAAACCTGGAGTGGATACACCAACCGACCAGTATTGCAGCCACTGACCACTGCTGGTTTTAAGGAGTGTTTTAGATCAGGGATAGAGAATATGAGACCCGCAAGCCAAATCCAACCTTCCTGGGTTTCCAATGCAGTTGCATTTTGATCCTGATGGCCTATGATTTGGTTTTCCAGCTTTTGCACCCTCAATTTCAGAAATTCTAAAAGGGTGAAATGCTCTTCCCACAGCTCATTTACTAGCAGTAAGAGGTTTAAGCTAAAGTATGGTATCTGGGGTATTTTAGCCTCACCACCAACAGAACGCAGCCCATAAGAACTTTTCTGAAAGCTGAAATCACTTTGCTGGGAGCGGGAGGATTAGATTATAAAGCCCTAAACAACTTGGGGCTAGGATCCTTGGGAGTGCCTTCTCTCTGACTTGCCTGGCCGCTAAAGTTGTGGGTTGCCATGTCCTTGGTGCTTCCACGTGTACCTGTGTCCCAACTGGAGTCCACCTGGGGACTTCAACGTAGCAGCTCCATTTCTGTGGAACTCCCTGCCGCTACTGCCAACACTGCATTGCTTGTGGTGCCTGAAAATGCTTCTATTTCAAGAGGTTCCCTATCCCTGCTTTGTAATTATTTCAAGGTAGACAAACATTGACTGAGCTGCAAAGCACTACATCAGTGTTACAATGCCTGTTACAAAGGGATTTTGTTGACATTCATCATTCACATACAGAATGAGGCAGTCATATGTGATTAGTTGTCATACCTGCATCTCTGTTTTTCTGCAAGACTGTGCACTATCTTCCTATGGTTTTAATTTGGTTAATTTAAAAAATGGTTTTTATGGTTTTATGGTTTTTTTCTTTCACAACCTTACACTGACTTCCCCTATTTTCACAAAACCACCTAGGATGATTGCCACACTGTAAGTTGGAAGTGGTTCAAAAGGAACATGTTGAACATTATTGGTTTTGCTCCTTTTAAGGATCAGTAGTTGGGGGGCCAGGTACAGTAGAGCGCTGGACTCCAGCACTTTTAACAGTTCTGTATATGAGGGAAATTCAGCTGGTGAAGGAGCCCCATCTACTTTTGCATCTGGACACAATAATCAGCACTCAGATTATTTTCCCTGCACCCTTGATGGGGCAAGTCATACTTAAAAAACATATAGAGAAAGAGTTGCCATTCTTGGACTTAAACCGATGTAGTAAAAGCCCTGCCGTCATGTCTCAACTGGTTTAAAAAAATAATAGGTTGGCTTAAGTGGTTTCTAGATTGCACAACTGCCTATCAAGAACCAGGCAAGAGCTTTCATTTGCTTCATCAAACAGTTTTCCATTCCACTCCATTCCTTCTTTTAGACTCTAGAGGAAGACACAAGCCTTCACTTTAGTTCTAACTGTTCTGCCAGGCTAAAGTTGTGCAGATTTGTGCATGCACAATTTCTTTCCTCCCTTCAGAAATCCCTGTCTTCCTCCTCTGAATAATCCAAACAATATCTAACCCGCTTGGAGATGCATATATTATACCCTCACGTGTCGTATTTCTTCTAGAGAGTTTGAATTTTCCTCCCCACCATCCCGTAAACAATGGTGTATTTCCCTTCTTATCTCTCCCTGCTCTTGGTGGTCTAGAAGACTCAACCTTTCGAGAAATATTGGGTCCCCAGACCTCCTAGCGATTACAAAACTGTTCCAAGTCCATGCTCAGCACAGAACTGGGAACAAGTGACCAACTCCAGCACCGTTAACCTAAGAGGCAAGGTAGATTGCTCAAACATCGGGATGGAACTATTAGGAAGTGGCATGAACTGGACGTCACTGTATTTGCTTCTGATCTGCACTGATGGTGTGAACGTGCACCGAATTGAGAGCACGTTTTCTCGTCAAGTTTGGGTGGTGGGTGTGATCCTACGCACGTTTCTCTGGATTAAGCACTGCTGAACTCAGTAGAGGATTGCCAGCGTAAAACCGGTCAAGGTTTCCTATAGATGTGTGCAGCTCCAAGAAAGTCCCATTAAACCTATTGGAACTTACTCCCACCGAGTATCGATAGGCAATGCGTCAGTTTATAAGCTTATAAATGGAAGGGGCTAAAAACCACGAGAGCCAAGGCGGTTATAACCTTCCAGCTGAAGTCGTTCACAGTCCACGTCCGGGGCTGTTGTTTTTGTGTCCGAGATGGTAAGGACTAGAAACACACCTGTATTATTTAAAATATAGCTTTAATGTGATTCCTTCGCTGTCAACGTACCAAGCATGGGAAAACTGAATGAACCCGTTCAGGGAGCGATAAGGAGTGCACCTGCCCTCTCCGCCCTCACCACCGAGCCGCCCATTTGCAAACCCGCGCTTCCTCCCAGCGCCCGCCAACCACTATTACGCCATCATACCAGTCCCGCGCGCTCACGCGCTTTTACCCCGCTCCCGCCCGGTCTTTACCAACCCATGGGGGCGGGGGCAGTGACCAATTGGAACTGTAAGCGCGCGTGCGCATGCGAGACGCCACAATAGTTATGACGGCGCCTGCGCAGTGACACGTCTCCCTCCTGGTTAGCGGTGGCCGGGGCCGGAGAGGAGGCCGGAGTTGGAGGAGAGAGCCAGCCAGCCAGCCACCGAGGGGCAGTGGGTAGGGGAGGCGTGTAGAGGGGCGGGTGCTGCTCCTGCTCCAGCTCTCGCGGGATCCCTGGAGAGGCCTCTGCTGGGCGGGCGTGCTGGCTGGCTCGAGAGCGAGCGCGCGAGCTGAGAGGGGGGCGGGGCGTGTGAGCGGCCATGGCGGGGCAGCAGTTCCAGTACGATGACAGCGGCAACACCTTCTTCTACTTCCTCACCAGCTTCGTGGCCCTCATCGTTATCCCCGCCACTTACTACCTGTGGCCGCGGGACCAGCATGCCGGTGAGTGTGGGCTCCCCGCCTGTCCCTCCTCCCTTTCCCCCGGCACTTGCGGCTACGGCGGGCCTGGCGCAGCGCGAGTGGACCTTTCCCCCTCGGGCGACGCGGCTGGGCTTGGGGATGCTCCCCATTTCCCCCCACCGCCCCTTTCCCCTTGCCCCGTAATCAAGGGAGGCGCGTTGCCCTCTTGGTGCCTCTCCTGCTCTACCCCACCCTACCGGCTGTAACCCTCACGGTCCGTGTTACTGCGGGTGGATGGAGAATCCGCTCATCTGAGGGGAGAGCCACAGGCGAAACTCGTTAGGAGGCGAGATGCGATGTGAGGCCGTGTCCGCATGTAGCGTTGCACTCAGCAGCGCCTTCCAAGCCTTTCTCCTGGTGTTTGTGCTGCGGAGGAGTGGCTGTTTCTTTGGATAATGTAACTCAGGGGACCTGCGTTCTAGTCCCACTTGGCCTTGAAGCGCATCACTAATTCTGAACCTAACCAACCTGTCAGGGTTGTTGTGAAGGTAACTCGGAGAAGAGGGGCATGTGTTGTAGCTTAGTATCCCTGGAGGAAATCTGGGATATAAATGTAACACAAAGTGCAATAATTTAAAAAAGTTCTACAAAAGTTATGATAGGAGTGGGTAATCGTGACTGTCTAGATGTTTTGGTGTGCAATTCCCATGAGTTATAGCCAGTATTGAGGGATAATGAGTTGTGGAACATATCATCTGGACAGCCACACATTTTTCAGCCCTGGTGTAGGGAAATTAACATTGTGTCCATGAAGCCTTATGTCAGGGAGGAAGAAGCATGTGTCCAGCCAGATGTGGTTGGACTGCCATTCCCATCAGCCTTTGTCATTGGCTATGCTAGACAGGACTGATGGGAATTGCAGTATCTGGATTGTCACATGTCCCTGCTTTCACCATCATAGACCAGCCAGTCCTCCAAGACTTCATTTGATGTCTTTCACTCAAGCTTCTAGTAACATGTGCAATGCTTATTAACATGGGGAAAAAAATCACCAGCTGTACAATTCATGCCCCACATGACTACAAAGTTATTTTACTTCCAGCCCTCTAAGAGACTATTTTGGAAATTCCGTGAACATTTTGGAAGTAAACAGACCATGATGTGTGTCATGTTATTGGGTTTCTCTACTGTGTATTGGAATTCCAAGAAACTCTGGCAAATCAGATTTTTTTTCTCATCTTTGCCATGCTATATTGTTGTCAGCTGGCTACACATTCTCTTCTCTCTGTGCTCTATCATTCTCTGGGGAATATTCTCAGTGGGATGCAGCCATTAGTTAGTGTTCTTTTCCTCTTTCTCATCTTAATAGGAGTAAGTTTGGGGCAGTTGGCTGATTTTTATATTGCTCCTCTTTAATGTGTTCTTACACCCACTATTATCACCAGATACCTCTGTAGGTAATAGGTTGACTTACTGCCAAGTTCTGTGAAGTCTGATGTACTCATCTAGCTTGAGAAAGAATTCAAATGGCAAAAGATGGTGTAAGCCGTGAAAAAATACATTGAGACAAATACATTTAAGAAAAGAGAACATCATGTGTGGGATAGCTTTCCTAGACAAGTTCATATGTTGCTTTTTGATATTTAGAGGTGATATTGTTATAGACAAGGATATTGCAATGTTTAGAAGACTGTGAGATTCTCTAAGAATCAAATGGAAGGAGAAGCCTGCTTGCAGACCTCTGTAATAAACTCAGTTTTTTATCTCCTCTAGTTTTTTTCTCCAGAGAGTGCATGGTTTTGTAATCCTAAAGGTAGTCAATTCATAGAAATAAATAAATAAATAAACCTAGCAAAAAGCCATTTACTTGGTTCTGGAATTGAATAGGCAACAAACATATGGACCAGGTTTGCACATAATGGTGACATTTTGTACATGCATTAATTATGATTTGGCATTGCTGCATCCTGGTGTGTCTTTCCAGAAAGTTTTCAGGCTCTGATTCAGGTTATATGTTACACTTTAGCAACACATTTGCTTGTTGAGTGTTTTGTTAAAACCATAGTTGCAATAAGTATTCTTTTATGCCAGGACTTAAAATAACTATTTATATATGTGGTGATCTTTAAGCTTTTATTTACTTATTTTTAATCAGGGTGAATTTGATTTAAATCACTAGTCAGTAAGACTAGATTTAAATCATGCTTTTCTATAAAATTTGCATGCATGCCTGTCTTACCATAGGTAGAGTGGCTTCATTAAAATGTTCCCAAACTGGCTGTCTTTTATGGCCTGCTGCCTTGATAGGTTTTCTCTTTCAGGGAAAGAATAATATAATAAACCTCACAAAAAGATCCAAAGATTCTTTTCTTGTGGAGTATTCTGCTCAAAATGTTTCGCTTTCATTTCACTGCTTGCCCCTCTCTCTTCACACTTAGCATCTTGTGCAGATCTATTCCACTCCCAACAATGTTTTCTATTCATTAGGTTTTTTGAAACTTAGCACTTAAGAGGTAAGGGGTTAATTCGGTGTACATAGATTTGCAAAGGAACAATGGGATTTTTCTCAATTCTATATATTGTATAACATTTTTGCTGTAAAGAAAGAGGCATGTGATCTCTGCAAATTCTCAGCTTCGAAAACTATAAAACCAAGCATCTGTGATAATATCTTCTAAATAGAAAAATTGCCCAATAATCTTACAGAAACTTCTGAAAGAGTATGATACTGTGAATGGGTTAGTGAAATTCATTTGCCAAAAAATGTAAGCATTGCATGAATATACAGCCTCATGTTACATAATTAAAAACTAATCCTTATTTCATGCTGAATAACCTTTGGACTGTAATGTATCTTCTAAAAGTATCTTAGATTTTCCTCAAAAAGCATTTTCTTTTAAAAAAAATCCAATTTAAGTTAAAATCCGTTTTAAAAATCATTGATTTTTATTCATCCCACTTTTAATTATTCACTCTGGTACAGTATAGAATCAGCTAGAACACGAAAGACCTAAAAGTATAGTTTTTTCTTTTTGGATGGGTTTACGATGGAAGTAAGAGTACAATTACAGACAAGCTTTCAGTTAATGTTCTGAATACAACAAAGTACCAAAATCAAGTAAACCAAACTGGCAGACTTTCTTCTCAATATCTTATGTAATATTCCACCATGTAACTGCCTGTTTGTATAGTAGTCTTTTTGTATTGTGCAGCTGTTCTTTTTAACTTTCCTCAATCAATCAACAGTGGCTGAAGTCACTATAGTACTTGAATAATAGATTTCTAAAACTGGAAGAAGTAATCCATTCTTCTGTCATGCGGCTAACATATATTTAAAATATCTTTGCCAGATTTTAGCCAATCTTTTCTTGACAAGACAGGTACACTGCCAAACATGACCAAAGAACATTCTATTTCTGAATGCTCTTCAGAACTTGCTGTTTCATCTTTAACATTGATCCCTGCCTATCCCAAGATTAGTAAACCTATTGAATCCTGACCAGAATCACTTGATCTTGTAAGAACTAGTTCATAAGAACTTAAAAGAACTACATTTCATATTTTTCTATCCTTAAGCACCTTTGCAGAGAGTTGAATTATATTATAAATGTGTATATGATGTTTCATACCTTTCTCTGAATAATCACAGTAGGCTTTGTATTAGGTTCAGATTTAATGCCAAATTATGCTTTGTTATTATGCAGACAAAAGTATATAAGTCTCTCTAGTTCCTTATGATGTGTAAACTCAGGAAATTATGTTGTGGTATAACACAGGAATAGGAACCCCAGTGCCTTGCCTTTCAGATACTTCCGGACTACAACTTTCACAATTCACCTGAATGGAAATCCAAAATCAATACATCATATCCACCTCTGTTTAGGTTTTTTTTCTTTTATCTTTCGTTCATTTTGTCTTATACTGTGGGGATGCTTTACACTCAAATTAACTTCCCTTGCACACTTCAGACTCTGAAGTTCTACCTTATACTTCTTTGAGAATTTATTATAGCTACAGCCTGATCCTGCATGTGTTTACTTGTAAGTAAGTGCTCCAATGTTGAATGGGACTTACTTCCTTGTTTTCATTCTAGGTAAACTAGGGTCAAACTGTGGTTTCAGATCCTGGTTCCTTATAGAATCATAGATTACTAATCTATGAGTTGGAAGAGGCCAAGAAGGCTATTGGGTCCAAACCCCTGCTGTTGCAGGTCAGCAATTTATACTATCCCAATCAGATGATTCTCCATTTTCATCAGATGAAGAGCCCACGACCTCTTTAGGCAACTGGTTCCACTCTTGTATTGCTTTGATAGTGTGGAAACTTTTCCTAATACATAGCCTGAATCTGCATTGTCTCAGCTTGAATTGATTATTCTTTGCCCTACATTCTGGTATCATCAGGAAGAAATCTTGACCTTCCTCTTTGTGACAGTCTTTGAGGTACTTATCAAGAAATATCACACCCCCTCTCCCCCAGCCTTCTTTTCTCAAGGCTGAACATACTCAGTTCTTAGTCTTTTCTCATAGTGTTTCCAAACTCTGGACCATTTTTGTCACCCTCCTCTGGACCCTTTCTAATTTTTCTGCATCTTTTAAAAATCTTGGTGCCCAGAACTGGACACAGTATTCCAGATGAGTTCTGACTAGTGAGGATTATAGGGGAAATACTACCTCTCATGAGTTAGAAGTAATACTTCATCAAGCCATTCCAAAATAACATTTGCCCCTTTTGTAGCTGCATTGCATTGTTGGCTCATATTTAGCCTGTGGTCCACAATATTTAGCCTGCTGTCCATAATTTAACCTGCTGTCTAATTAACTACTTCTGGAACAAACCATAGCTCCTCATGTTTGTATCTCATGGGGTTAGATCTAGGGATGTATAGAATGGGACTTTGCAAACTGAATGATGCTGTGGTTGGAAGGGTGCCAGGATTTTGCCAATACCTTGTTCTTGCAGCATCCATGTTCCTCAAAAATCTGCTCTGGAGGGTTGTGAAACCTTTCAGAATGGTATGTGGGGTGGTGCTGGGGTCTTTA